GCCCAAATAAAATATAAACATAAATGCATATATTTTCTGCATCGTTTATCCTATAAAATAAAAGTTCTGATATATGACAGGTTAATCAATCGGCCTGGCTCTAGTTCAGTCTCTTGTCAGAACTCTCTCACCTCGTGTTTATTCCTGCTCTTGTTTGTGTTGGTTAGTTATTTCCGTAAAGGCTGTTACTTCGGCCTGGCCTGTTTCGCCAACATGCCTGTGGAGAGTGAGCTGGAGAGAGGAGCGAGGATGAAGTCTGTGGGAATTCTGTCTCCGTCCTACACCCTGCTGTACCGCTACATGCACTTCCTGGAGAACCAAGTCAGGTGAGTTATCTGTATGTGCTGATAAGTTATGCACTGTTTTATTTCTCGTTTTATCACCTATCTTTTCACTTTTAGTTTTCTCCTCACCTTATTTCTTTCTCTCACACAACTGTGTTTCCACGTTACTCCTTATGTGCCTACCTCCTGTCCGCACTCCTTTGTTTAAATGTTCTCATCTATTATACATGAAGCCAGAGTCCCAGTCACAGCTATCGTCACAGGAGCCCATTTACATGCAGTTTTTGTATGAAGTCTAAGCACGGAAGTGAAACAAAGCCTGACAGCGTCTCTTCTCCTCAGTAACTCTGTGCTCCTGCTTCAATCCTCTCACGAAAGCTTATGTGCTCATTTACTGTGTATAAAAATACAGTAAAACACAGCCACCATTTTAGGTTTTACACAAGTGGATCAGAATTGATTATCCAGCCCACAGTTTATCTGTGGTAACTGTGGGTTTACAGTCCCTCGACAGCATTGCACTGATCCCACAATGTAATAAGCACAAACTGTGATGTTGCATCATGGAGGAAATGAATAGCTATATCTAATATTAAATCCATAGTTCTTTATATTGCGTAAACCTCTCTTCATCCTCCTGCTCTTCTTGTCTCATAGACACCAGTTGCAGTGTCCAGGCCAGTACTCTCCACTGGAGGCCTTCTACGAGGACAAGAAGGCCGTCCTTCCACCGACAGGAAACGGTCTAGTCACCGCTTGTCCGACCTGGAGTGTCACCACCATCAACCGCTGCATGCACCCAGAAATGAAGGTGCAGAGATCAACCGAACACACTTGCAGTGTTGCATGTTTTTCTCAGATTTTAATCCCATGAAACAACAACGTGTGTGACTGCTCTCCTGCAGATCACCCACCCTGCGGGCTGCATGTCTCAGTTCATCCAGTTTTTCGGGGAGCAGATCATGGTGCTGTGGAAGTTTGCGTTGCTGAGGAAACGTCTCCTCATCTTCTCCCCTCCACCTGTAGGTGTGGTCTGCTACAGGGGTGAGCAGCTCAGATATAAAGGCTTGTCTGCCATGTCCTTATTTGTGACACAGATTCAGTTTTTTTTAAATACACTAAATGTTGAAACCAAAGTGCAGCTTTACTTTTTCTGTCACAACAGAGATGTTTCATTCTTCATGCACTTGTGTTTCCTCAGTTTACTGCCTTTGCTGCCTGGCCAATGTGTCTCTACCTGGAATCGGTATCTCTGTGCCTGAGTTACGGCCGTTCTTCTACATCAACATAGCCGACATCACCACACTGGAAACGGAGATGTCATATGTAGCCTGTGAGTGGAGGTTGACTTTTAAAAGCCACATTTTTTTTATTATCTATGGCAATATTTCATTATATATGAGTATTTTGTTTACGTGTTTAGGTACCACAGAAAAGATCTTTGAGGAGAAGAAGGAGCTGTACGACGTCTACATCGATAACCAGAATGTGAAAACACACAGAAGCCATTTGCAGCCGCTGCTCCGGCTGAACGCGGCAGATAAGGAGAAGTACAGGAAACTGAGTGAACAGAGGTACGCTAACAAGTAAAATTAAATAAACTGTACTACATTCAAAATCAATAACAATTTGTGAAAACAAGTTTAGCACATTAGAGTTAAATGGTGGTTTGAGGTCGTATCTCTCAGATTTCATATTGATGGACGACGACTTTTTCCCCAGACAACTGCTGCTGTACTCTCAGGAGGTGGACGGAGACTGCACGTCTAATGAGGAGGATCTTTTCATTCTGTGAGTCCTCGGCAGCTTTATTCACAGTTGTCAATGTACCACAGGCTGAATTTATCAAGAGATTAATACTATGAACACTGCACTGGACTAAAACCTTCCTTTACTTCGCTCCTTCCTTCGCTCCTTCTTTCCCTTCCTCTGTTCCTCCTCTCCTTCCTTCCTTTCCTTTGTTCAAAATGTCCTTTCCTTCGTTCCGTCTTTCATTTGAAGATTTTAATGTGATACGAGGGACCACCACCTGATGCGGTTTTCTTTAATCCTTCAATCATAGATTCTTCATGGAGCTGAACAACCGCATCTTCCAGACCCTGTCCGAGGTGGCAGGGAGCGCGGACCCCACCCTAACCGCTGAGCACGTGAGAGCCATGGGGCTGGATCCCCAGTGTGATCGCTCCTTCCTGGTCGACCTGCTGGAGGTGTACGGTATCGACGTCGCCCTGGTCATAGACAACCTCTGTTGCTCCTGAGCCCCCCCTCTCCTCCTCACTCAGCCTGGGAATCTCAGGACATCACTGGATTATCTGTGCCTTCAAGGCCCACACACACCAAGACACTGAAGACACTGCCTCCACCCTGGGGCTTCATCTGTCGCCTGCTGTACTCTCCTGGGTGTATGTTCCCCCTCCCCCCTAGTGTGTGTCTCATCTGACCCATAGAGACCGTTTCCAGCCAGCCTGAGTAAAAAGGACACGTTGGTGCGCTGGTTCACGTGGATGATAAACTCCTGCCTGGCAAACAGTGCACGCTCCCTACAGCCTTTCACATCTTCCATCACTTCTGTGACTTCTTGTTTGCTCTTGACTGACTTGGATTCCGGCTCACGTGGCCAGGCTTTAAGCACTGGATGAAAACTTAAACGCGTCTGGATAATGCCTGGTCATCGCAGGAGGATGATCGGTCGCTCTCTGCTGCACCCGTCACAGTAATGAAAGTGACACATTCACAGTCCTCCAGCTTTGATCATCACTTGTGCTTTCTCCGAAGAACATATGATTTGGTTTTTAGTGCTAGAATTTAATTTGTGTGCTTCAAAAACCTTTCGTTTGAAATTCTAGCCTCCGTAACGTGTGACAAATTCAACGACATCAGATCTTCTGCTGTAATACCATACATAGGTGTTCGAAATATGTTTCTTGCTCTTGTGAAGCTACTATTTGAAAGCTTTTCGACCACTTTATTTGCCTTTTCGAAAAAAAAAAAGCAATATGAATCTGTGTCGGCTGAAAGTATCAGCCTTTCTCATGTAGATTCAGCCGCACAGTCGTTTGCTTACTGTTTCTGTCAGAGCCAAAAGTGAGAGGTGGGGTAGAACTGGAATATGCTGCCTGCTGAAAACCTCTTTTTCATAAATTAATTATTCTGAAGGGAAAAGCTGTTATAAATACTTAGTTCACTTTGGTGCACCTTCAACACGAGCGTCTCTGTTTGATCACAGTTCCAGTGAAAGCGCTGTCAGGGATGTTTTTGTGTCTGATTTGTCGTAATTGGCAAAGGAGTGATTAATGAATGTGACTCTATAACACTGACTTATCATGAATGCTGCACCATGTTCACCACTGGACTGTTTCCTGATGCACACAGCGATCATGCTTAACTGTAATGTGTGTTTTTTTAGATGCTATGTTTATGAGCCAGCAAGTTGTTGTGTTGTTGAGGATTCTTTGTGTGTGTCTGTGCGTGTGTTGTTGCAAAACCGTATCCAGGCTTTCACTGTATACAGAGGCTGGTTTGATATCTCTTGTGATCCCACTGAGTGAAGCGTCCTTGATGGAGCCGTTTGGCGTTTCCTTGTTTGTCAGCCTCAAACAGCTCCCCTCTTCCTGTATGCATTCGTGACAAAGACACCTTTGTGTTCTTTTTAGATCTGCTAATGTCATGTTCAGGGCTGAGCTGGAGCTTTAACTCCTCCTCTACGGGTGCGTTCACAGAAAGGCCCCCGTCTGTTCCCGCTGAGGGTTTCTCTCGCTTCTTTTCATCACGGCCCCATTCAGAGGATCCAGCCCCAGAGACGGGCCAACTTTGTGTTTTTTGAAGGCTGCTGGCAGACCCGGTTGTGTTCATCCATCTCATTGTCAATCAGAGTAATGATTTGTTCCACATTGGAACACATGAGGATGATGTCAATGCCTTGTATACACGTTTGGTGCAGTGGTTCTCAACCTTCTCGTGGGCCCCCTGATGGACACTGTCATTCCCTCCGCCAAGGTTACGTCTTTGTCTGCATTTGTCTTTTTGTTTGTTTATTAAAAACTACTGGATGATGACCACGAAACTTGATAGTAGGATGCGTTATGAGTCAGGAAGGAATACATTAAATGTTCGGTGTGGACCTGAATCAGGGGACGGATTCAGAAGTTTTTTTTTATTATTGCTTTCTCTAAAATTGCGAGATAGGGTATGCTGTGTGCAGTTTGCAATTTTGTCCAGATCCAATTTAAAAAATGTGGATGTAGTGGTTTCACAAGGGGACTGTTGGGCCTTAGCGGAGGTAGTGAGTGCCCTCTTGGTAATTTGTACTGTGAGGAAATACACTGGAGAAAAGCTTAATTCTTATTCTGACACAAAAAATAGTCCCAAAATATTTAGTTTTTTAAATGTCACATTCTAAACAGGCTCTTTCAGGTGCCACAGGTTGAGAATTGCTAATTTTATAGTCTGTACCTTAATTTGAAACCCAAGTGAGTCATGGTGTTTGCCGATGGATAAAAAATGAAGAAAGTGTTGTGCGTGTATATATGAAAGAAAAGGACACTTGTGCGTTGTTGTTTAAATGGGGCCTTAAAAGACATGTGACTTTCTCACCTCGTGGGTTCACCTGCGTTATTTGCTAAAAGATTAAGTACGTTGTTCCGAGCCCCTCTGAATGACCTTACTGTCTCTAGTGGAACCTGTCGCCTCTTGTTTGCTCGTCAGGAGACATGTTTTCTTATCTCCGACAGTGTTTGCTTTACAGGTGTTTGTTCGATGTAAAAAGGGAATGTACACACCACACGCCACTGTATAAAATGCCTTCTCTGTGGAGCCACTCACAGCCGGGCATCAGCTGAACGATTCGTTTGTACAGCGTGTCTCACCACTGATTGTCAGAGACAGCAGACGTATTGCACACATGCAGCAGCACATCCAAATAGTTGTAACAGTTTATCTTCTCGATTGTAACGTAATTCAAGTTTATTCAAAGAATAACAAGTAAGTCTTCACCTTAACTAATGTGAAACACTGTCAGTAATAATGTACACATCAACTCAATAGCATGAGCAACTGTTAATTTCACTGTACTGCCATTGTAAAACAATAAAACACTGATGGTTAAAAACGTTCTAATCCTCTGCTTCTTCAGTCTTTTCTTCTTTATAATCATTGTCTGCCTAAACCTTTCAAACTTGCAAAATTATTACAACAACATTTTATAAATGTTACCTTAAAATAGCAGCTTCAATTACCAGAACCAGGTCCAGCAAGTAGAAGAGTGACGCTGAACTGAAGTTGAAAAGACTTAGAAAACATTAGAAACCAGCGTTTATCTCCAATATTCAGCAAAGAAACTTTTAAAATATGAGGATTTCTGAGTTTGGTGGATTTGTTACAGCGGCAGCTTTTCTGCTTCAGGATCATGGGTAATATCCACCATTCCTTTGTGTTTCAGTTCAGTGAGTGAGACTACACAGCTCCACTCAACTTGTTTTTTTTTTTTTCTATGCCCAACACTTTAGCTCCACGTGTGGCTGCAGAGGGCGCTGTTGCTCAACAAAAGTTATTTAGTGTGGCTTTAAGGGAAAGTAACAAATAACAATGAAGTGAAAGCAGCAATAAAAAACACATTGTTCAAGGTATAAGATTTAAAATTGTACTTAATGTGCAGTACTTAGTAGATAAATATTTTCAGCAGAGTGTACTTTAAGTTTCAAAAATATACAGCATCTTTATATTTGAAGTGACTCCTAACTAAAGCTGTAAAGTAATAGTGATAGAGCTAAAAGTACAATATTACCCTTGAGTAAATTAACATTGGATTTAGAAAAAGTAGCTGAACAAGGTACATTTCACCCAGATTTTTCTTTAAATATCAAAAATAAAAACAAATGATAGTGATGAGCAGAATAAAACCAAGAACATCCATCACAACCCTAAACAACCAAATATGATAATAGGAGGCCTGTGATGCAACCACGCAGCTTAATCCTGCAGATTTGCAGTTTACACCATCTGTCAGATCAGACACAGACTCACCAAGCACACTGCCAGACTCCTGATCCAGGCTTTTACAACACCCTCAGAACCCTTTTCTCTCATGTTCCTCTATGAACTTCCTTAACGGTCCAGACTCCTTCACATCCCAGCAGCCGGTCGCATCTTGCTACTTGTGTTTGGCCACTTAAATTTTCCTTCCCGTCTCTATGACAACTGCTCCATCACTCTGGTCCTCCCTCTCAACTCAGTGGTGGAACTGCAGCTTCAACTTTTACTTCATACACTAACCTCCAGCCCTCCAACCAAAGCCTGTGCTCCTTAAACCAGGCATCTGCTAAAGTTAACCTACAGTCACACTGGTATAAAAACACTGCACGGAATTGGACAGACATTTTTATTGGCCAAGTTCAGATATGAGGGATAAAGTAAATAATCCAGCAAACAAAGTCCTCGTGAGACATTAGGACTTAACATGTTTTGCTAGTTTAGAGAAAAAAAGTCTTGGTCCTTTCACGTATAACAATCTGTAAATGAATCCTCTTCAAAACTGTTAAAATTAATAATAACATTTATGTTAATAAGTGGTAAAACAAAGACTGTACGGACCATCAGCACTTCCTGATTGATTGATGAAATCTAGTTCTTTTGTGTTTGTCCTGCTTGTTCTCGTCCTTGTGATTTTATATTTTCTCACTGCGTCTGTGACATGAGCTGCTCCCTGCGCTCTGCACTGATGAAGAAGCGCAGTTTCCTTGGCAACAGACTTATCTCCACAGGCATGGCCTCATACTCCTCGTTGTCGATGTTGTAGAAGCCAGTGGTGCCCTTCGGAGTCAGAATGCAAAGTTAGATGCCAACACACAAACAAACACACTGAGAATTAGAAAGCAGATTAAGCAATAAAATGAAATCAATAAAAACACTTAAAGGGATTCTGACCTCGGGCAGCTGCAGCCGACAAGCGCTGACTTCCAGTTTTGTGGCGTTTTTAGTGAATATAGTTGAGTCCTCTTCTTTTTTTTTCCTATAGTGAAGAATATTTACTTTCTTTTACTTGTACATAAACATGAACCTTTGCATAATGTGTTTGGCCTAAATAATGTTTTGTTTCCAACAAACTTAAAAAAATACTATAACTACTGACCCAACAGTGATAAACTCGCCCACAGTGAAGTCGTCCGGCTCTGCACAGATCACCAGGGAGTCATTCACACGCTGCAAGTTCAAATAGAAATCAATGATTGAAAATCTAAATTGATGATTATTGATGGGGTTTCATTTTTATCATATCAACATTTAAATGCTCAGGTTTTATAAGAATGAGAACAAGGTTTTATCAGTTCAGTTATTTTTGGACTCACCATCTCCACAGGGTTTTTGTTATGTGTTTGGATGAACAGCTCTAAAGTTGACAGCTGCTTGTCCTCCCACTTCTCCGGCTCTTCCACCTTTGGAGGCTCTGAGCAAACACACACAACACAGAAATATAACTGTAAAATCCACAGTTCTGTTAAGTTGTGGAGATAATTTATAAACGCATTACAATAAAAGCATCAACACAATCTCACTCACCTTCCACAGGCGGGTTCCAGTAGTTTTTCAGTCTGCGGACGATGCGGTTGAGCAGATTTGGCCTGGGGGGTTTATGTGGGGGCAGGTCAGGGGGGCGAAGGCTGGGAGCCAAGTAGGATATTGACACCTCCCGGATCAGGGGCCACTCCTTAGGGATGTTTTATGACAATGTGTGATTAAAATACATCACACAGATATATAAAAATTCTTTAAGAGCACCATAAATAGATCACAAAAACAGCATTTTAAAGTAGAATGACTCAATGTGCTGACATGGCTTTCCAGTATCACACATATGACCTTACCCTTAAAGTACTAAACCAGTGTGCTGCATTTGTCTTCAGTGGACCGAGGTACCAATATCTGCGGGGAAACATCATGGTTAAATAGTCGTACAATAAGTATGATGGATTATGTCATTATCAGTAGCCATAGTAACAGTCTAAATGAAGTAATCTTACTTGCTGATTTTTGCAGCCACATCTCTGAAAGCTCCCCAACGCAAACCCATCAGAGCGAAGACCGGCTGATCTGTCTCCCCCTTAGAACAACACAGTTCACACAAGTTCAAATTCCTGTTCATGTGCTAACACTTCATTTAATCATTAGTGGCCAGAAAGAATGTTCAAAGAAAGTTTATTTCAATTATCCTAAAATCTCTTGATTTGACATGAAAACAAATACGTTCAATATATTTTTTAGGCTTTGCAAAGTAAAATGAAACCAGTTCCTTACTTTAATTTGCATGACATCTAGAGGTACAGTTTCTCCCTTCAGTATCGATAGAGTTGCAGATGTAATGTCTCTGGAAATTTTAAAAAGGCAAAAAAATGAGTTACAAGGAAATCAACATTACTCAGTGACACATTGAACCAACAGCTCCTCATAGGGTTTTTTGATGACAACATTTCGATCTGTGGGGATGGCCCTGATCACATTACTTACTTGACCTTGTTGTTACTTAGGATGTGAAGACTCTGACTCAGGGAATTGTGAGATCCCAGTGGAATGAATCCGATTGGCATTTTGCTGAATGTGTCCTATAATAATAAGAAAAAAAGAAACAACAACAGAAAAATAAAATAAAAATGTATTCTGTTCGCATTTAGCTGTTAACCACAATAAAATGACAATTACTGTATAACACCTACTTGATCTGGCCTTCTCAGTAACCCTGTGATGACTTCCTGTAAGGTGCCATCTCCTCCGGCTACAATCAGCATGTCTGTGTGTTCCATCAGCTCAATCATCTTTTTCGCCTGGCCTTCAAAGTCCGTCTGTAGACGAGGAGACAGTATATAATCATGGAGTCACACAATGAAAACCCAAGCAGAGCAACTCAAATCTCAAAACTAAAAAGTGAAGAATACCTTCACGACTGTGACCTCCACACCAGCCAGGTGTAAAATAGGAGCAGCATTCTTTTCAAACAGGTTGTTGGCTTTCCTGAGGGAGATTTAGAAGCAGAGTTAAAAAGTAACAATGGTGTCCTAACTGGAATGTCAGTGAGATGTTTTGAGATTTGTCTCTTCTTACCCTTTACAGGCTGCAGGGTTCATGATTACCATTGCTTTCCTCAGCCGCTCCTGGGGTGATATCTGCTGACGCCCATATTCCTGAAAGAGATTTTGATGAGAAGGACTATGGGCACTTGAGCCTTGATCTTATCACACTACAATTAGTATTTCACAGACTACAATCTTTACTTCACGGACATACTGCACATGTGCAATAGAATGTGGATCTATGGACCATATTGCCCAAGAACAGCCTTTGTTTCAGTAACATATGGCAGATGATTAGAATGATAGATGGATGGATGGATGGATGGATGGATGGATAGACAGATAGATAGATGAATACAACACAGTAAGCATACATTATTTCTGACAGATCTCGTGTCTTACCCTGGCCACTAGACAAGCCTCTCTCCGCAGAATACTGTCACTAAAGGGATAAAAGACAAAATGTCAGACACGTAAACAGCCTTGAGATTTAAAACCGTGCAAACACTATTTATAGAGACACTCACCAGTGTTTGCCATACAGCCAGTAGCTTCCGTATGACAGGACGCACGCAGCGAACGTGGATTTCTTCCAATGGTTCCTCAGGGTCCGAAACACTTTCACAACCCGAGCCATCCTTCCGATTCAAGTCCCCGCTGTTTTAACACGGTGCTACATTTACTCACAGTTCAGCATCGCAGCGGTCACAGGCTCACATCTGTCATGTTAGCGTGGACATGTTGGAGTAACGTCAAAAACAGTTCGGACCAACGCGAGGCGGAACCATTGGTGCCCTGACGTAATTCAACGGAAAAGGAGACTTTCTCAATCGAGGCGCCACAGAAAAATATATTTCAAGGAGAATTACATTTATATGAATTAAAATGTGACATATTTCACAGAAAAGACGTTGAAATTACTTTGATCGAAGTTGCATCGGTAAACCTCAATTTCCGTCCGGCCGCGGGGATCTAACGGGCCGAGGACCCCGCCTGGAGGAAATTACAGAATTGCGGATATGTTTAAAAATATCCGTCTGGATTAATCATCTAACGCACACATTGATTTACAATTTTAAATCTCATTCAGAAAATAGCACCTGGGTGTTGGTACAGAATTTATCATTTTAAATTTGACACTGGCACTGGCCCGGAAGCATCCCTCCAGTTGTCCGAGTGAACCATGGCGGCGCAGATGGCGGTAAATTCGGGTATGTACAACAATTAATTCATTGAGTAACTTCAGTGTGTTGATTCCGAGTAGCTACTGGTTATTGTCGTTTTGTGGATACACTCTTACAC